GAACTGATGGGCACCGGGCGTCCTTAAGTTTAAACGGGAGGCAACGCTAGACTGGTACCAGTTTACACTCTACGGCGAAGTGCCAAAAGCGCCGGCCCTAACTTGGAAACACCGGGCTCGGTTGCTGCAGTTCGAAAGGCCCCCCTGGACAAGGCTAACGCCGTGCGTGGTCCACGTGGGGGATGTGGCGTCTGCTGTGGGCCACCGATCCTTGGGGACTCTGGAGAGCAACCCTACATTCAAGTCGAGACCGAAATTGACCCGTCCCATCCCGCGAGCCGCCAGGCGACACCGTCAGAAACAAGTGGGGGTGGGGAGCGCGGAGACCGGGCCCCCAGGCGGAGAGCAGGAGGAGCCCACGGCACGCTCCGGCCTCCAGGCCCCGCCAAGCGCGCCAAGGTGCCCGCCCTCCCTCTCCCCACCAAGGCGCCCGCCCGGCCGCAGCACCCCGCAGCCCGTACCGAGGCGCCCGCCAGCTCCTCACCCTCGTGCGAGGTGTCCAGGAGTGAAGAGGAGGAAACGCCCACAGGAAACGCCTGGCCGGCCGCACGGTCTCGGGAATGGCGGCTGGACGCAAGACCAGCCGGGAAGTATCGTGCGCGCCCGCACCGGAAGTGCCGTCGCGTGCCTCCGGGTCTCCCCCTCCTCCCCCGGCCTTTAAGGTTCCCAGCTGAGCCGGGCTGGGCGAGCCAGCCAGCCAACCCCTGGCGTGGGCTGGGGTCTCCACGTCGTCTTTCGTTTGTTTTCCTTTTGTCTTTTGTTTTGTTCCTTCTTATGAAGGACGCATTTGTTGATATACTGTCCATAATAGAAATACAAGACAAATACAAAGATTTTAGAAGGCAGTGAACAGGTTTCATGTCTCCAAACTCAAGCCCCAGAAATCGTCTTCAATTGCAGTGCATTCGCCTTTCGTTTTAATATTAGTCTGTCTGAAATTGACCTGGTTTACATAGTACACCTGTGTAATTTCTTAAGTCTTCGCCTTGTTGTTGTTTTGGTTTGGTTTCTTGTAAGTTTTGATTTTGGATGCTGAGCGAAATGAACCCAGGGCTTCCTCCTATAATCATCCCATGCTGTCTGATACATTAAACATTCATGATTTTTGATTGGTTGACTTGCTTTAAGACAGGATCTCGCCCTCTGTAGCCTGAGATTCACCTGTCTCCGCCTCCCAGGTGCTGGGATCAAAAGCACTCGCCATCACACTCTTCCCTAAACCACTGCTGCCTGCACTGATTCATTATCCTAGGGTCAGCTCACTTCTTGGGGTCCTCTTCACCGCCACTTTCTGGTGCGACTCTCTCCATGTTTGGAATCAGCTCTTATGAATCATTAGGATTAGGAGATCCTGGAGACCCTACAGGTAGAGTCCGGAAGCCTACGTAGTAGAGAAGCAGAGCTACCTGGCAGTTCTGGGAAGTGAGTTCTGGGAAAGCCAGGACACGAATGGGGTGGGGCAGAACAGGGTCTCTCGGAAACAGAGAAGCAAGATTTGGGAGACCTATGAGGTGGGAAGGAGCTGAGTCTACCTGGTGGTACTGTACATTGTTCCTTGTTAGCATATAGAAATGTAACTGGTTTTATTTGTGACCTTAAATCCTACTACTTTGTTAATGTATTTTATTAGCTCCTGAGAGTTGTGTGTGTACATGTCTGGAATCTTCAGGGACGTATAAAACTCAGAGGCTTTTTAAATTTGAATTTAACGTTCCTTGATGTCCTGGTTTGCTTCTTTGTTGCTGCAATAAAACCCTAACCAAAAACAAGCTGGGGAAGGAAGAACTTATAAGATACTGAGGAAAAAGGAGAAAGATCTATACGATCTGAAGAGAATTGAGGGGCTGGAGAGATGGCTCAGAGGGTAAGAGCATTGCCTGCTCTTCCAAAAGTCCCGAGTTCAATTCCCAGCAACCATATGGTGGCTCACAACCATCTATAATGAGGTCTGGTGCCCTCTTCTGGTCTGCAGGCATACATGGAAGGAATGCTGTATACATAATAAATAAATAAATATTTTTTAAAAAGAGAATTGAGATTGAGCAAGGGTGGATATGGGAGCATCTTAATTAAGGGAGCCATTTTAGGGTTGGCAAGAGACTTGGCTCTAGAGGGGTTCCCAGGTGTCCAAGGGGATGTCCCCAGCTAGGTCCTTGGGCAGCAGAGGAGAGGGTGCCTGAACTGGCCTTCTCCCATAGCCACACTGATGAATATCTTGCATATCACCATAGAACCTTCATCTAACGATGGATGGAGATAGAAACAGAGAAGGAGAGAGAAGATGAGCAAGGAAGTCAGGGCCAAGAGGGGTTCGTTCTAAGTCACACACTAAGACGGTGTGACTGATCTATTGGGAGCTCACCAAGGCCAGCTGGACTGTGACTGAACGAGCATGTGATCAAACCAGACTCTCTGAATGTGGCTGACAATGGGGCTGAGAAGCCAATGATAATGGCACTGGATTTGATTCTACTGAATGTACTGGTTTTTGGGGATCCTAGTCAGTTTGGATGCACACCTTCCTAGGCCTGGATGGAGGGGGGACTGCCTTGGCCTTCCCACAGGACAGGGTACCCTGCCTTCTCTGGAGGGGGAGGAGGAAGGGGAGTGGGAGAGAAATGGGAGGAGGGGAGGAGGTAGAAATTTTGAATGGTATTATTTATAAAGCAATGAAAAGAAAAGATACTGAGGAGAGCCAAGGAAGGAACCTTGAGTAAGCTGAGACCACGGGGAAAATCCTAGCTTGTTTCCCCCTCGATTGCTCCACTGTCTTCCTTAAGCAACTCAAGCCCACACGCCCAGGTATGGAACAGCCCACAGTAGGAGGGGCTCTCTCCACTTTAGTTAGCCATCAATAAAATGCTCCACAAATATGCCCATAAGACAATCTGATGCAGAAAATTCCTCAGTTGAGGCTCTAAGAGTGTCAAGGTGAAAACCAAGATTAGCCATCACACTTGCCTAATTGTTCAAGCTAGAATTTTCTGTTAAATGGAAATTATCAAAGCAAGAGGATTTTTTTGTTGTTGTTGATTTGTTTGTTTGTTTGTTTGTCGAGACAGGGTTTCTCTGTAGCTTTGGTGCCTGTCCTGGAACTAGCTCTTGTAGACCAGGCTGGCCTCGAATTCACAGAGATCTGCTTGCCTCTGCCTTCCAAGTACGGGGATTAAAGGCATGCCCTATCATGGCCCAGCTTCATGAGTGGATTATAGGACCGAAGTACTTTGATTCTATACCTAATTGTTTTGTTGTTTCAAATGTATTCATCATGAAAATTGAATTTTATTGTCTTTCTAGATCAATTAAAACAAGTGGCTTTTTCTCATTCTAACAATATGATACATCAAAGTGATTGATTTTTTTTAATATTTATTTACTTATTATGTATACAATATTTTGTCTGCAGACCAGAAAAGGGCACCAGACCTCATTACAGATGGTTGTGAGCCACCATGTGGTTGCTGGGAATTGAACTCAGGACCTTTGGTAGAGCAGCAGTGATCTTAACCTCTGAGCCATCTCTCCAGCCCATGTAGAATCTTGTTAAAAATGGTCCTGGAGAAGTGTGGTCCGCAGTGTGGAGATGCTGGAACTTAGTCAAGCAGCAATGGTCGCCATATGGGCCACACCACTTGTTATTCTAAGTGAGACTGTTTATCACCTTCAGGGAACATAGGGGCGTGTGTACACGCCTTTACAGACATTATAGTGCTGTGGAGGGTAAGATGAGACCCCACACTGACACCATCTGATGTGGAAGTCCTGAGGCAGGTCTGGGGACTCTAAAAAGTTCCCAGAAGGCAGCAGAGCTGCCTGTTGCTAGAGGGAGAAGCCCACTGTGAGGACGCTGTGGTTTTCCTTTAGTTAACATCTGTGGCATATTAAAACAGTGAAGGGCTTGAGAAATGGCTCAGTAGTTAAGAACATTGACTGCTCTTCCAGAGAACCTGGGTTTGATTCCCAGCACCCAAATGGTTGGGAGCCAGGCCAATCCAAGGCTTTCTCAGAGGCCCCGATGAAAGGACAGAGGGGATACTAGTTTGGGGTTAAGAAGCCCTAATTTAGAAGAAAGAACCCAGATACTCTGACCTTTTAGCTATTCCAGGTTTTTTGTTTGGTTCTGCCTGAGTATAAAAGTTTGTGTAGTGTGTTTGTGTGTATGTGTACGCATGTGAACACACGTGTGAGGCTGACATATGGGTGCACGTGGGTGTGGGTGTGTGCATGCACACACGTACACATGTGCAGGCCTGAGGTTGACGTTGGGTGTCTTCCTTGACCACTAATACACTAAGGTGAGGTCTTTCAGTTGAACCCAGAGCACACTGATTTGGTTCCTCTAACAGGCCAGCTTGAGGAGTGCCTATCTCCACCCCCCTACCCCACCCACTCACCCCCTACCGACTGGTCACTTAGCTCAGGCCGCCGTGCCCATCTAGCTTGTACATGGGTGCTAGGAATCAGAACACCCACTGTGCCGAGAGTCACCTCCTCAGTCCTCCTGTCCTTTTTATTTCTAAGTGTGGCCCTGCGGCATGTGGCGCCGTGCGCACAGAGGCACCCAGCGCGAATGCACTTGTAAGGAACAGTGATGTTTTCAAAGACCCACTTTTAGGGACAGTAGAGCTCCATAACCTGAAGACACCACCAATTCATTTACACGATCAAGGATGTTTCAGGGAGCTGGGTCGGTGGTGGCACACGTCTTTAATCCCAGCACTCGGGAGGCAGAGGCAGGCAGATCTCTGTGAGTTCGAGGCCAGCCTGGTCTATAAGAACTAGTTCCAGGACAGCCAGGGCTGTTACACAGAGAAACCCTGTCTCGAAAAACAACAACAACAAAATAAAACAAAGAATACCTTTGTGAGCACACAGAGGTAAATGACTTTTAAAATCCGGAGTTTTGGGTTGTTCCTTTTTTTAAGGAGCAGGTGGGAGTACTGGCTGGTCATAATCTAGTGTCTGTCTGCCTCTGATATTTAAGGAAAATACACAGAGAATTTTATAAAAAAATTATTATTCTTTGAACCCGTGACAGGGAAAATTGGACTTCTTGCTTCAAATGCCTGGGTGGCCACATAATCACACGGAGAGTCTCTCTTCTTCATTCTGGTGATGTTAGACAGCTGTCAAAACCTATAAGAAATTCCAAAAGGAAAGCCCTTAATTTTTTTTCCTTGCTGAATTATCATACAGAATAAATATCAAGGAGGAGGGGGATGATGTAAGAAATCTTTGCTTCTGGACAGAGATGGTGCTCAATGGTGATGTATTGTTTTTAACACATACAGTGATTGAGGGTTCAATTTCCAGCATCAAAAATACATTTAAAACAAAAGGCCAGGCATGATGGTCCACCCCTTTAATACTAGCCCTAAGAAAGTAGAGGCAAGAGCTGGAGAGATGGCTCAGTGGTTATGAACACTGACTGCTTCCAGAGGTCCTGAGTTCAATTCCCAGCAACTATATGATGCTCACAACCATCCATAATGAGATCTGGTGCCCTCTTCTGCCTACAGGCAGACATACAGACAGAACACTGTATGTATAATAAATAAATAAATCTTTTTTTTAAAAAAAAAAGCAGAGGCAGGCAGATCTCTGGGAATTCAAGGCCAGCCTGGTTTACACAGTGAGTTCCAGGATAGCCAGGGCTACATGGAGAGATTCTGTCTCAAAAAATCAAAATAAGCCAACACATGTAAACAACATGTCTGTATGTTGTTGTTGTTAACCTATGACCAAGGGAACTGGTTATCTTGAGAAGAAATACTAGCATAAGCAGACAGAACACGATGTTGTAGTTTTTACCAAGGGTTAAAAAGCGGGGCTGGGTATGGCAACCCATGCTTTTAATATCAGCACCCAGGAGGTAAGTTCAAGGCCAGTCAGGAATGTACAATGAGACCTTGTCTAAAAAAATAAAAAATCCCCATGTAATGTTGAAAGCATAAAGTGACGGAGGGTTAGTTTGAAGCAAAGGCAATCACAGAAACAGAAAATCTATCATTTTGAACCCAGGTAAACTGGGTAGAGAGAAGGGAGAGAAAAAAATTACGCAAAGGTTTTAAACACAGACCCCATCTTTCTATGAGGCTATCTGTTGAACAGTAGAGAACTGGGGGAAAGATAAGGCCTCTGATTCCTTATCTGACTTTTTATTTCAGACATTTGTATTGGGTCAGTATGAGTAGGCTGTGGATCCATGTAGAAAGAAGAATAATGTCTGTTTCTTTTGTTTTTGTTTGTTTCAAGTTTGGAACAAAATACACTGAGAAATAAAAAACTAAAATTCAGCATAATCATCCCTAAGCTGCTCTGAAATTTTGGTATATTTCTCACCAATATGTTTCCTAAAAGCCTGAATATTTAATAATGGGGCTGGAGAGATGGCTCTTGCTTCTCTTCCAGAGGACCCGCACTTGATACCTGCATCTATGGGGAGGCTCACAATGGTCTGAAGCTTCGTTCCAGGGCATCCGACACCCTCTTCTGTCCTCTGTAGGCCAGAGATGTGCACATGGCACACAGACAGATAGGTAGGCGGCACACACACATAAAATAAAATTAATTTAAAAAAATTCACTATGCCACTCATGGTGGTGCACACGTCTGTAGAACCAGCACTGGGAGGGGGGGCAGGAGGAAAGCAGTTCAACGACCTCTCTGGCCATACAGCAAGTCTGAAGTTAGCCAGGAATACATGAGACCCTGTCTCCACCCACCATCCCCACTCAAAAAGTTCACTGAGATTTAAGTGGTTTCAAATTACGTAAGTAAAAACATCTAGCTGGTGAGAAATTCTACACAAAACCCATAGTATGTGTAAGGATAACAGCAGTGTGCAGGCTTTCTGATGTGCCTGCCCCACACAGCAGCTATAACCACTTCTCTGTGATGACAGGGCACACACAGCAACGGGAAAACTCAGTCCTTTAACCTCGTGGACAGGCTACACTGACAAACAGTGCCCCACAGAAAATAAACAAGTCTGTTAGGGAGGGACACTCAACCTAAATGAGGGACAGAGGAGACTGGGAGAATGGAAGGCTCCAGGGTCTTCTGGACCTGAACACTGGGCCAGAGCGAAGCTGCAGGTCCCCATGTTGAGAGGAGGCACACGGCTGATATTGACTACCAACTTGACAGAATCTAGAATCACCTGAGACGAGCCTCTGTGATGCCTGTGACTGTCTTGGTTAGGTAACTGAGGTGGGAGGATCCATCCTAAAGGGAGTCAACACCATTCCCAGGGCTTGAGTCTCGGATTGCGTAGAGAGAATAAAAAGAATACTAGGTGAGTACTTCCACGGATGCTGTGACTCCACACTGGGGGCAGGAGGTAGTCATGGTAACAAGAGCAGGCTCACCTCTCCCCAGGATGCTGTGACTCCACACTGGGGCGGGGGCAGGAGGTAGTCATGGTAACAAGAGCAAGCTCACCTCTCCCCAGGCATCTCTGGCAGGCTTTCCACTGGCCGGGCTTCCTGCTTTTCGTCTCCAGGACCAACTGAGTCACCTCTTTCTCTGTGCTTCTCTGTGGCTGCTTCTTCCCCTGTTTCCAGCTTTTTGAGAAGCTGAGAAATTGTAACGTTAATAAAATATTACTCAATGCTACATCATAAAAGAAACTGTTAGTTAAAAGTATATACTAATATTGAGCTCAAATGTTTAAAAAATAGAGGAGTGGTTGTAGGTCCAAAAATTAAAACCAAAAACAGCCCCCATCCAGCTGTTTTGGGTTCAATCCATATGACACTATCAATGAAATCTTACAATTATGAAGATGACATAGGACTGTTAGAATAATGGCATCTGGGATGGAGAAGATGATTGAGCGGTTAAGAACCCTGGCTGTTCAACCAGAGGACCTGGGTTCAATTCCCAGCACTCACATGGCAACTCACAACTGTCTGTAACTCCAATTCCAGGGGATCTGACATCTTCACACCAATACATGGAAAATTAATTTAAATAAATTATAAAGAAATAATCCCATCCAATTTAACAAAAGAACACTATAAAACAAATGTGTACTATGATCCAATTTTGATTTTCGTGATAGTATGCACATACCCTGCTAACAGAGCCAAACACTGAGAAACACCTTAGGTTTTGTCCTTGTGCAACATTAAAGCATCCTTACATAAAGTCACGACACAAGTTAATCTAAAAGTCATTGTTACAGTTTGAGTATTAAATTTTCCCAAAAAGCTCATGTGTTAAATCCTTGGTCTCCAGCCAGAGGCGCTATTTCGGGAACAGGGCACCAGAAGCGCACCCTTGGGAGCTCTTTCGTGCCCTGCACCGTGTTTTCCCTCCTTGTCCTCTAATTCCTGGCTATGTGGTAGTGAACAGCCTCCACCACACAAGCCCACACCCGACATCCTGGACTCGAACTCACAGAGATCCATCTGCCTCTGCCTCCAGAGTGTTGAGATTAAAGGCCTGAGCCACCACCACCCGGCTCAGATTAGCACTCATAAAAATAAAGCAAGGAGTTGGGTGTAGTAGTGCTTTAATCTCAGCACTCAAGAGGCAGAGGTAGGCAAATGTTTGTGAGTTCAAGTTCAGCCTGGTCTACAAAGCAAGTTCCAGGATAGCCAGGGATATTGTCTCCCTGCCCTAGCTGAGAAAAAAAAAAATCAAAAATCAGTAAATAAATAAACAAAGTCAAGAGCTGATAAAGAGCCAGGCAAGTAAAGGTGACTGCTGTCAAGCCTGGGACTTGAGCTTGACTCCCAGGACCTGCATGGTGGAAGCAGGGAATACATCCCTGCAAATCACTGACTTCCACATGCATGAACACAAACATACAAAATAAATAATAGCCAGGCACGGTGGTGCACACCTTTAATTCCAGTACTTGGGAGGCAGAGGCAGGCGGATCTCTGAGTTCCAGGTCAACCTGATCTACAAAGTTAGTCCTAGGACAGCTAGGATTACACAGAGAAACCCTGTTTCATAAAACCAAAAATAAATTAATTAATTTAAAAAAAATACTTCGCATCAGGATGGTAGGAAAGCTACCTTAAGAGTACCCCAAGAACTGGCTGCTCCCCAGCCATCCCAGGATAGATATCAAGGGCTCAGGGCATTTGGAAAACTGAACATTGAGAGAACGTTCAGGGATACAGAGGTTATGGAGAGAAGAGCTTTCTCAGGTCCATCCCCTAAACAAGGTGGCCACCTGAGCTGCCGGCAGACTGTGGTGTGTCCTCATGGCTCTGTTTTTATGGACATGCAAAACGAGATATGTGGTCATGGAGGCTTCCGCCCACATTTCAAAGGAAAGCCTAGAAGGCCAAAGAAAGGTCAGAGTCCTTGTAAACCACAGCTCCTGGGTGACAATATAGGGTGATGGGAGAAGGGACCCCTGGGAATGCTAGGATCATGGAGCACACACTAAGGAGCCACAGAGGATGCAGAGCAGAGCCCCAGGAGAGAGCAGTGCCACCCACACCCTAGGGGCTCACGGGACAGTGCACACGGGATGCACATCTACAGCGCAGACTGTCCCTGCTTTGGTCTGTTCTTCCCTCGCTACCCTCTGCTTCCTCCCTTTAGGAATGGGAATGTTTACTCTATACAATCGCACCTTTTAAAATTTTTTAAATTTTACTTCTTGGTGTGTGTGTGTATGGTGTGTTATGTGCTGGAGGCTGGGGTCACAGTGTGGATGCAGAAGCCAGAAGACAACTTTGTGGAGCAGCTCTCTCCCTCTACTCTTACATGGGTTTTAGGAGTTGAACTCAGGTTCTCCAAGGCTGGTGCAGCAAGTGACTGTCCCTGAGGAGCCATCTTTAGCCATCAGTATCCTGAAGACATGCCACTTGCATTTTATTTTACTGAAGCTAAGAATTAGCCTCGAGTCCTAGAAAAAATTTTGCATTTTGACTTCTGGATGTTGCTGTTGCAAATGTTAACAATTTGGAGATTTGCAGGGATGGAGGAAATGAATGTTACATTATGAGATGGCTTGCGTCATTGGAGGGCAGGGGCAGACGGTACAGCTTTAGTACGCAGTCTCCCGTAGATCAATTGCTGAATGTCTGGTCCCTAGTTGGTTGTACCATGACATGTGTATTCACACACGAGCGTGCACACACACCAAATAAATAAATAAATTTAAATTAGTTCACTTATGTTGAAGCAATGTATGGAAGGCACTGGGAGTTATTATTACATGTGTGTGCCATGTCTCCACCCATGTGAAATTATGACTTTGAATATCTCTTTTCATGTAAGCGCAGGAATAATAAACAGAAAAAAACCACCTGGGGCAAGCGAGGGTGTGGGGATTAATAGGGCTCAGGTCACTGACATCCTAATTGAGCCCTCCTGTGCTTCCATGAGTTTCACAGCCTGGAAACACCACTGCGCTGGTTCTCGGGAGGGAGACTGGCTATTAACGACTCCGTCTCTCTTGGACGCTGGGATTGAGGCTTAACCCTGTAAACTCACTAAGGTCTTTCTGGTGCCAAGTCCACAGCCTGAGCTGTCTACGGCCTCTCACCCCTCATGGCGGAGTCTGAGACCCTAGCTGTGTGCTGGCGACTGCAGACTAAGTGTGACTAGAGCATGGCTCTGAGACAGACACACTCCCCATGGCTTCTCAGAGTGCCTGAAGGGACACAGATGGGCTGTGTGCACATGTCCCGTCTCTAATTACTCACTGCCTCTAGATCCTTAGGCTGTGGGTGCAAGTTCTCCTAGCATCTTTATTTTTCATGCATTTAAAAAGTTACATTCTGAGGATGATCTGAATACATATGATGTTCCATCAGTTGATCTGAGTACTAAGTGGCCATGCAGTCAGAAGAGGAAGCCTGAGGGTTTGTTTCTCTAGGTCTGACCAGACCAACTCTTCCTCTTGCAGGCTTTATGTTCACATCTCTTTTTTCTATCGAAAGAATTCTAGACTTATTTCAATTGACTTAAATATATAGTTCTTGACTATGGATTCTAATTGCATACTAAAAAAATGCAAAAATGCTACATCCTAAATACTTTAAGATAAACTTTAAATTATAACTAAGTTATAAGGTCCACATTTCACAGTTGAGTTGGGAGTCCTTTTTCCATATTATTTTAAGATTTAATTATATTTTATGTATATGGGTGTTTGCCTACATGTTTGTATCTGCACCTCCATATGCCATGGAAGCCAGAAGAGAGCATTAGATCCTCTGGAACTAGAGTTACAGATGGTTGTGAGCTGTGATGTGTGTGCTGGGAACCAAACTCAGGTCCTTTGCAAAAGCAGCCAGTACTTCTAACCTCTGAGCATCTCCCCAGTGCTCCTAACTAACCACTAAACATCTCTCCAGTTCTCCTAACTAACTGCTGAGCATCTCTGTAGTGCTCCTAAGTGACCGTTGAGCATCTCCCTAGTGCTCCTAACTGACCACTGAGCATCTCCCCAGTTCTCCTAACTGACCACTGAGCATCTCCCCAGTGCTCCTAACTAACTGCTGAGCATCTCCCCAGTGCCCCTAACTAACTGCTGAGCATCTTCCCAGTGCTCCCAACTAACTGCTGAGCATCTCCCCAGTGCCCCTAACTAACTGCTGAGCATCTCCCCAGCCCTGGCCTTTTGTTTACTTGAGACAAGTTCTTGCTATCTAATCCGGCCCAACCTTGAATTATTGAGCTTCCTGTCTCTGTCTCTTCTTCACTGCTGGCAACACAGGCTTATGCTAAAACACTCAGCTTATGTGGCACCGGGACACAGCTTAACTCATTCTAGGCAAGCACTCTACCGACTGAGTTACATCTCCAGCCCTTGTGAGTAGCTTTTTGAATCTCTGCTCATTAGTCTTCTGCTCCTTCAGCTTTGGTCAGGTTCCCTGACTTCACTGCCACTAAAATAGTATGCAATTTTAAAACAACAGAGACCACGGAGCTGGTGACAAGGCTCAGTGGTTAAAAGCGTGTATTGCTCCCGAAGAGGGCCTGGATTAGGTTCTAACACCCACAAGGTGGCTCACCATCATCACTGACTCCAGCTCCCGGGGACTCAATGTTCTCTTCTGGCTTCTACAGGTCCCAGGCACTATGTGGTACATACATACAGACTTTGCTAACCATAGACATGTTCCTTATTATTAAAAGTAATACTTAATGACAGCAAATACTTTATACTGTATGGTTCTTCAGAATCTCAGTAAGGTTCCTTAAATCTTCCATGGAGTAAGGTAAAGCCACGCTAGGCGAAATCTCAGTTTAAAAAAGATCTAGGAAGGTTGATTCCAACTCTGGCCAATATCAAGGAGAGAAATCTCTTCAATCCATGTGAATGAGTGCACCATTCATGGGGAAAACTGGACATGAGGGTGAAACCTATGGGTGCTGCCTAGTGCCAAGTCTCAGATGTGAGTCTGAGTTCTGAGACGCTGAGGCGGGACACAGAGAAGCCAGGCAGGTAGTTCTCAGGTGTGTGTTTTTACTCAGGAAAATCTAAGGGGGGAACCCTTTGGGTGCTGTGACCCATTCCACACTAGCGGCCAGGGCCTCATGCCTTCCACCACCTCAGCACACCCAGGTTTTATAAGGACGCCTGAGCTTAGGGGGAATGTCTGAGGCCACTGTTGTAGAATGGATATAAAGAACTGATAAACGAAAGGCTGGATTAATTGAAAACGTTTTATGATTTGGGGGAAAAGAAAAAATGTTTCCTCCAAATTACCTTAATCTTAACCTCCTTCTCAGTTCTCTTCTGCTTATCCGCCTCCTTCCTTCTCCACCTCTCCTCTTCCCTCCTCTTCCTTTTCTCTTCTTCCCGGAATCGCTTCTTTTCCAGCTCCCTCCTCCTTCGCTCTTCGCGCTTTTCTTCTCGAATTCTCTGAAGGTAAAGCCAAATACAGACGTAAATTATATGGATAGAAATGGCAGGCACACGGGGGCTGGAGAGATGGCTCAGCTGTTAAGAGCATTGCCTGCACTTCCAAAGGTCCTGAGTTCAATTCCCAGCAACCACATGGTGGCTCACAACCATCTGTGATGAGATCTGGTGCCCTCTTCTGTACTAAGAATACTGTACACATAATAAATAAATAATTTCTTTAAAAAAAAATGGCAGGCACAGGATAGATAGTCACCAGGCAAAACGTCACCTACCTGCTTTTCTAGTTTTCTAGTTTTAATATATTCCAAAAGAGGTGTGGTTCTTCTGGCTAAAAAACAAAAATTGAAATGCATTACATATCATTTATAAATTGAGATTTATTTTAAATACTTGTTTCCAATTTAATATTTAAAAAATTAAGGGAAGAGGGCTGGAAAGATGGGTCAGAGGTTAAGAGCACTGGCTGATCTTCCAGAGGTCGTGAGTTCAATTCCCAGCAACCATATGGTGGTTCACAACCACCTATGACAAGATATGTTGCTCCCTTGACAGATCAAATGGATCTCAGCCTTAAATGGAGTGGACATGGTCAGATGCCCACACTTTATGGCATCAATCTGGCAGAAATGAATTCATTTTAAAGAGATCCGTTGGCTATCAGACTAACAAAACAATGGATGCCAAGATAAAGTTTAGTAACATGGACACACTTCCCTCCTCCTTCCCTAATTACTGTATCACAAAATTTTATAAGGCTCAAGGAGGTGATGAGGTTTGCTGAGGCTGCAAAGTACCACGTCTCAGAGCTAATCCTAGGCCTGTCCATTCCAAAGACCCTGTTTAACTGAACAACACAACTTCTGCCAGCGTGAGTCTATCAGGATTTTGCCCAAACCTTATTTGTTAGGCTTGGTCATGAGACTCCATGGAAGCTTAAAAGCTAAGAAAAAACAAGCAACTGCTATCAATTGCATGGTGAAGACTCAGACTTCAAAGGAAAAGCAGCAACTGCAGAAATGGGCTCCACAGTCCACGGCTGGGATGAGGACCACGAGTGTGTTCCTGACACTTGTGTCGTCAATAGGCAAGCACTACTGGCAATATGAGATGACAAGGACAGAGGCCTAGCACTCTTTGGTCAAAAGTACAGAATACTGTTTCTATCAAGCCTGTAACAAAAAGAAATTTTACCCTCATCTGGAAAAAAGGCCAATTTAAATACATACTCCACTAGTAAGAATCTCAATAAAGAAACAAGCGGAACGGACCCAGGAGCTCTCTCGTCTTCACTTCTATCTCTCCCAGAAGCGTCTCAGGACTGGCACCGGCTTTTTCTTCCTCCAAGCTGTATGTCTCCAGAAACTGTTTATATTCTGGGTCTGTAAATATAATACAGAATGAATGAGTGAACGGCTACATCTCCCTCTCCAACTACAGGCAATGTTTGATCAGCACGTTTAATCTGTGGGCTTAGAATTCAGCCTTTGAAAAGGAAGGGCTCACCATCTTCAATGCTTCCAGTCTTGGCGTCCTTTTTCTTCAGCTTCTTCTTGGCAATCTTCTGGAACGGAGCAAACTCCACCACTGCAGGATACTCCAGGCCTTTTATGGAGACATGTGCCAAACATCATTATGAAACTGTACCGTACTCACTGAGGAAAACACTTATCAAACTTCCATGGGGATGAGGCATGACAAGTGACTGCTTTGGGAAAAGCGGGTGGCACAGAAGCCAGTCTTTACTACATGACATGGCCCCGAGGGGTCATTCGCAGCCTCAAACCGCTCACTTGAAAAGGGAGGAAACTCAGCTACTCCACCTTACTTCCAAGTAACTTATGGAATACCATCAGTTAGTTTTGTTTTGTTGTTGTTGGTTTGGTTATTCAAGGCAGTGTTTCTCTTCCTGTCAGTGCTTTTGTTTGGTTTTGTGTCTGGTTACAATCGAGGATTTTAAAGCAGGATTCTTTTTTTTTTAAATGTGCATCAGTGTTTTTGCCTGTGTATTCCCCTCTGTATGCTATGATTATGTTTTATTGCCACTGGTTATTAAAGAAGCTGCTTTGGCCTATGGCAGGGCAGAATAGAGATAAGTGGGAAAACTAAACTGAGTGCTGGGAGAAAGAAGGCGAAGTCAGCCAGACGCCATGTAGCTGCCCAAGATGCAAGGTAACCTCGTGTGAGGTAACAAACAACGAGCCTCGTGGTAAAATATAAATAGAAATGGGTTAATTTAAGATGTAAGAGCTAGCTAATAATACTCCTAAGCCATTGGCCAAACAGTGTTATAATTAATATAGTTTTTGTGTAATTATTTTAATCTGAGTGACCAGGAAACGAAAGCACAGTCTCCATTTACACGCCTGTGTGTCTGTCTGTGTGAGCATGTTAGATCCTCTAGAACAGGAGTTACAGACAGTTGTGAGTTGTTGCCATGTGGGTGCTGGGAATTGAACCCAGGTCTTCTGGAAGAGCAGCCTGTGCTCTTACCTGCTGAGCCATCTCTCCAGCTCTCTAATTTTAAGATTTTATGGGCTAGAAAGGGCTGATGTTAAGAGCATTTCTGTTCTTGCACAGGACCTGGATTTGGTTCCAAGCGCCTCACATCAGGTGATTCACAAACACCTGCAACTCCAGTTCCAGGGAATCTGATGCCCTCTTCTGGCTTCTGAGGATACCTGTACACACATGGTATACACACATGCATTCAGGCACACACACATAAATAAAAATAAAATTTTTATAACGTTAAGATGTCAGTTCAACTACTGCACTATTATCCAGACTCCAGGAAATCACCCCACTTAAAAAAGGCACAGGCTAAACAGTCTGGAGACTTCAAGGACATGTGCTATGGTTTACATAAGGTTTGTTTCAAACCGAGGTGAACATATAAAGAAATGCTCTCTGTTAATAGACTTTAACCAACACAGGGAACACTTTACCTCAGAAGTAAACCACTGAACAGTATCATTTTAAGTCTTGTCCGTAACACAACTCTAAATCTATAACTTGAACCTACTTGGAATACATGTTGTGCTAACCTTAACTGTGCAGAAAGAAGACAGGAACAAGAAGGGGCTGGGGCTGGCAAGAGGGCTTAGGGGGTGATAGTACTTCCTGCTAAACCTGATGAACTAAGTTAAGTTAGATCCCTGGGACCCATTCAGTGAAAGGGGAGAACTGACTTTGACAAGCTGCCCTCTGATATCCACAATTACAACACGACACAGAAGTATAAACACACACAGAAGAGGATTTACACACAGGAGCGTATATATACATAGAGGAGTGTTCATACACACAGAGGAATATACACACAGGAGTGTATACACACATAGAGGAATATATACACACACAGAGAGGAGTGCTCATACACACAGGAGTGTACACACACACATAGAAGCATATACATACACATAGGAGCGTATACACAGACAAGTGTACACACAGAGGAGCACACAAACACACACACACACACACACACACACACACACACACACACAGGATCTAACCTTTATTGCCAATGAATATATATCCATCAAAGCGATCTCTGAACAGAAGGATGTCATCAGGGTTCCGGAAGTTAATGTACGCTCGTGAGTAGAGATGAGGGTAGAGACTGAGACATGAAAGTCAGTGTTAGTCAAACTGCAGGGCGCCCTTAGTTCTGTCTTTCTTATCTTTTATTAACACAGCACATACTTTTTATGCCAAAGATCACTTCTCAGCTAATTACAACAATCTGGATATCCTTTAGCAAAAAACAAAACAAAACCAGAAAACCCCAATCAGTAACTGAAGTCTTGAGTGCTCAGGAGCATTGCTAATGTACACAACCAAGGTTAAAATACTAGACTTCAGCCAGGTAGTGGTGGCGCACACCTTTAATTCCTGCACAGAGAAGCAGAGGTAGACGGATCTCTGTGAGTTTGAGGTCAGCCTGGTCTACAGAGCAAGGTTCAGCCAGGGCTACACAGAGAAACTCTGTCTTGAAAAACAAACACATACTAGACATCAGAAGTCACCCAAAGATCACAGGTATTTTTAGTCATCAGGACATCGAGAACAGGACTAGTCCTGGCTCAATCATGGGTGAGGATGCTGTACTATGAGGTTCTTTTTGGAAGGGTAGACCAGTTTCAGGTGTGTGTTGGTACTTAAGAAAAAGGAAACCATTCTCCCTGTCTCAGCCACACTCCTTTTCACAGGTAGGAACTCTTCAGTTCCAGTTCACGGAGACTATTAAAGGTCAGAGAAATTTGTTCATAGGAGGGTGCAAGGTACAAGGAGGGGTTGGGATTGTGCCCCTGCTGTTTTAACTGTTTTTCTAAACTTCAGCCATCTGAAAATCACCTGTGGTTCCAAATGATACCTGTTTAACAATTACTTATATGTTTATTTGAAGACTTTCCTTTTTTCTTTTTCTTTTCCCTTTTTTTTCAAAAATAGGTATCCAGAAGGAAATTATACATGGCATAAATAAAAACATAAAAGGACATAAAAGTAAATATTGTGAAAAATCACGAATCCCAATGGCGCTGACATCTGCTGGTCAGGCCAGCCCTGTGTTGCTCCCATCACCTCAGGCACCACCTGTCTGACTGGGTGGCGGTGCTGACAGGAGCAGGGTGGCAATTGCGAGGTCTGCGATTCTATTTCTCCGGGCTCAGTGACTGGTCCTTCACTAGCGAAAACACTCCAGACTCACGTGTGTAAGGGATGCACTCACACAATTTATTAAAAGCGACGTGTGGAGGAATGCCTGGAAACACAAAGGGCCAAAAGCACCGGCGCACCAAGGTTCTGATAGAGGGACGCGGCAACTCGCCCGTCATAACGTAGGCGTGCACTGACATCTGGAAGGGGTCCTCAGTCCACCCTTCACCTGTGTCCTGCCTGTGTCCTGCAGCAGCCCTCACCTGAGGTCCGCAGCTACCACCTCGAAGTAGTCGTGCGCAGGCAGGGGGCGCAGTTGCTCCTCCAGCTGCTCTTTGGTGAGACCGGGGGGCAGACGCCGGAGGACCACCTGGGGTGAGCATTGCTAGTCAATTTAGATGCTGCCGCCCGCTCCGTCCGCCCAGAACGTGAGCTTGGCCGTTCCTCCACCCTCGTCCGTCGAGCCGGAGCTACCGCTGCTCCCTCACCCTAGCTCGCAGAGGAGGAGTCACGGTTGCTCCCCGACCCCCGCCTGCTCGAGAGGAGGCGGCGGCTAGCGTCACCACGGCAACGCCGCAGCCCCACCTCCCCGGGCTTAAAGGCGTCTCCTCGCGAGAATGGCTAAGATTCCCCCCCCCCCACCTCCGGTCCGCAGTGCGCAGGTCCAGTCGCCTCACGGGGGGATTGTGAGGCCCCACGCCCACCTTGCTCAGCGCCGTCCTCTTCTCCTCGCGAGGCTTGCCCGCTCCGCTCTCACTGAAGGACGGGGCCGGGGCTAGCGCGGATTCCCTCCGCGGCGACTCGCGGCGGAACTGGGCCTCCGGGGCTGACAGTTTCTCCCTCCAGATGGGGCCCCGCGCAGACAGGGCGGCGCCCGGGCCTCCGGCCCCCTCTTCGGAGCGCATCCCCACCGGCCGCCCGCCGCCGCCTCCTCCTCCGCGACAACGAAGCCTCGCGAGGACTAGGCAGCCCCTCCCTTGGCATTCGATGGTCCAGCGTCCCCTCCCCGGCCCTGACGAGGGAAGGGGCGGTACCAGTGCTGCCCAGCGCCTGTCGGGGGCAACCCGGACAGCCCTGAATGCTGGGGGTGCCCCAAGTTCACGCATGTGCCGAATCCAGCCTTTTCCAAAACAACCCTCAACATGCTACAGCAGCGACGACAGGAGATCACTACTGTCACTGTGCACGGAAAACAAATGCACGCTCCGGACATCCTGTGGGCAGCTGAGCTGCAATGTGGATGGCGTCCTAGGAGCCCAGAGCAGTTTCTGACCCACTCAGGGATGGCACCGAAACTAAAAACATTTTTTTTTCCTGCAGACATACAAGCTACACAGTCTTCCTATGTGCTCAGATTTTACTTATTCACCTTTGCCTGTAGCTTTTAGTTATAGCCCCTTTCTCCTAAGAGAATGAGAAAATTCCAGAAATGTCGAGATTTTAACTGTATCTAGGCTTCACAGTGACGTCCTGTTTTGATATTGACACCCTTGAAATGCGACATTTTAAATAGGCCGAAGACATCAGCCTTCCCTAAAACCCTGGAGCTGGAGCAGTTTCCAGTACTTGACGTTCCAAGGAAGCCTGAGTTGCAGAGCCTACTGTTTGAACCAGCTCACTTCGGAACAGCCAGTTACGCTGACGAAAGCTATGCTGGCCTGTTAACCTCATTACGGGGGGAAAAAGATGCTTGTTTGAGATTCTGATAAAATTGTGGAAGCGAGTTGTCAGAAAAAAAAAAAAACACTCCCCACACACCCAGATGTTAGAATGTACAAGGCTAATGGGTAGTAAATGAAGAGAGTTGGGTTTTCAATTCAGAGCCAAATTATCAGGCTAGCCGTAGCCCCCTTAATATCACCATTGATTGCCCATCTGTATGTCTGACCCTTCCAACTGTCAAGTAGAGTGGGCTGGTTAGTTGATGTCAACTTAACTCAAATTCATCACTTGGGAAGAAGGAAGATCATCTTACTGGCCTATGGGACAGTTGGACTAATGACTGATGAGGGAGGGTCCCCCAACTGTGGGCAGTCCCCCCCAGAGCAGGTCGTTGTTGGTTGGAATAAGATAAAGCCAATAAGCAGCATTTTTTCTGTGGTTTCTTCTACACTTCTTGCCTCAGGTTCCAACTTAAGTTTTGGCCCTGACTTCCCTCAGTGATGGATTGTGGCCTAAGAGTTGTAAGAGGAAATAAATCCTTCTCTTCCACAATTGCTCTTCGTCAGTATTTTATCACAGAAACAGAAAAGGAGAATAGAAATTGGTACTAGGAAGTGGGCTATTGCTGACAGGCCTCACCATGTTGTTTGGAGCTGTGGGGCTAGAGAAGCCACCGAGTGCTCAGAGCTTAATGAGTTGTGGGAACATGAAGATACCACTGAGAGAAATACAGGCGACAGAGGTTCTTATGAAGTATAGCAGGGACATAAAGACAATCAGGGACATTCTTGTGATGTTTTGGATTAAGAATCTAAGAAAGTGAAACTTTTCCTGGGATAAAGAATGATGGTTAGCTATGGATGAAGAATCAGGTGTAATAAATAAGACCCGCATCATTGAGGTGCAATTCTGAACATATTTCCTAAGGGTCAGCAAACAGAAGTTATTGTCTAGATGTGGTCAAGGCTGCATCTCAAGCAGGAAGCCAGACCTGATAACGTGTAGCCCACAGAGTGGTACTGGTTGTGTAGGCATGAAAGCCACAAGATTTTAGGATCACAGAAATCAGCTGAGACTTGGCACTGTGAGGAGCCAAGAGAGGCCATTGGTGAAGGTGCAGTGGAGACCCAGCATCCTGGTGATGCCAGGATCACAGGACAGTGGCAGGTGTGGAATGGAGCCTACCAGACAAGCTATGTGTGCTGTGGGTGGAAGAGCTGGAGAGATGGAGTTGCCCAAGTCCCCTGGAGTCCAGAAGATCATGAGGAAGTTCCAATTCATGAGTAAGTTCGAGACATTGGACAATGAACTATTTACATTGTGGGACTTCGCTTTTGTTTTGATCCAGTTGTAAGTATGTTCTGGTTCTTCTCTCTTGGAATAACTACCTTGTTTCTGATTTTACAGGAGTTAAGAGACTGAATATTTTTCATGTCACTGAAATTTATTTATTTATTAAGATTTAACTTCTTTGTTGATTCTTTGGGAGTTTCATATTATGCATCCCAATTCTGCTCACTCCCAGTCCCCCATATTCTCCCTTCACCCCTGCAGCCCCCCCAAGAAAATTTAAAAAAAAAATCAAACCAAAATAAAGCAAAGCAAGGAATGAAGCAAGGAAGCAAACAAAAATAAGAACAAACCAAACCAAAAAAACCTCTTTGCATCTCCTCCTTTCCCACATCATGTAGAATATTCCTTTGTCCAGTCAGCTTTACTAGCAAATGTTCATGGCAGTGAGTCACTGGTCTGGTTCAAGGTCTCTGGATTCTGGCACATCATCATCACTGGATCCTAACCGGAACTCCTCTGGGATATCCCGAGGCTACCCTGAGTCTTAGACATTCTGTGGGAAATGTTCCAAAGGACCAGTCACTTCATGAGCGCTAGTAGGTCCTAGGTGGGGTGGATGTTAGGGTGGGCCAACCCAAGTAGTAGCGGTAGATGTTAGGGTAGGCCAACCCAAGTAGCAGGGGTAGATGCTAGGGTGGGCCAACCCAAG